GGGAAATAGACAATTGGGGAATGGAGCAGGGAGAAAATGAGGGTCCAGATGAGAGGTGATAAGAGTGGACGAGATCCCCAAGGGAGGGAGTATGGATGGAGAATAGAGGAGGTTCGAAGACTGATCCCTGACACTGTGACATCAGAGGGAGGTAAAAGGAACAGCTGAGGAGCCTGACTAGGAGCCATGAGGCAGATGGGAGTGCTCCAGAGGAGTGTGGTGGCCCAGAGCCAAGTGAAGAGGGGGTCACCCCGCTGTGTCAGGTGCTACTGACAGAGGACTGAACAGTGACTGTTGGCTCAGCACCGAGCAGAGGTGGAGGAGGTGGTTGTAGGGGGAGGGTGGGGATCATTGGTGACCTTGACATTTCAGGATGGGGAAGAGAAGCAAAGCCTGATTAGAGAAGATTTAAGGGAGAACAGGAGTAGAAAATATGGAGGCAGTGAGTGTAGACAACTTTTTTGAGAAGTTTCACTATAAAGAAGAGCGAAGAGATGGGGCCATAGCTGGAGGTGGGGAGCGGAGTCAAGAAAATTTTCTTTTGTTTTCAGATGAGAGATGGCTCTGTGAGGCTGACGAGGATGATCAGGGGACACTGATGGTGCCGCGGAGGGAGGGGAGAACTGTGAGACCATGGCCAAGGGTGGGCAGGACGGGTGGGAGCAGTCACGATGGGAGAGAAAGCATGGGACACGGAGGTGGTAGATGGGGCAGTGGGGAGAAGTTCACCTCTCATCAGTTTTATTTTTTCTGCAAAATAAGAAGCAAGAGGGAGAGCAAAGAGGTGGAAAGAGGTGTGATGTATTAGAGGACAGGGAAGAAGGGTGAAGTTGTTATCTACAGAGAGGAAGAGCGAGTGGTTAAGAGAAATGTAATCTGATTGACAGGCAGCGTTAGCGGCACTGTTTGAGGGTGAAGTTCAGAAACTTGAAGTGAGACCAGCCAGTGGAGTTGTGTTGTTTTCAGCTGCTTTAAACTGTGTGTACAAAGCGGAGGGTATAGCTCAGTGGTAGAGCACATGCTTAACATGCACGAGATCCTGGGTTCAACCCCCAGTACCGCCTATAAAAATCAATAAATAAAGCGAATCCACCCCCCCACAAAGCCCCCAAAATTGTGTGGGAACAGGCCCAGGTAGGTGGAGGGCTAGCTTTAACCAGAGTCATGTGTAGGAGGAAGCCAGAGGAGGCCAAGGTGTATGCAAAGAATGTTTTTAATGATTAACCAAGGAATTTAGGCTGGATAGGAAAGAAATGAGGACTCCAGGGGGTGTGGGGCAGTGAAAAAGAGGTAGGGACAAAGGGGAGGTCATAGTGGGTTGGAAGGGTTGGTGGGGGGAGGTCTAGGGCACTGGAGGGAGAGAGCTGGAAAGAAGACATGTTGGGAGAAGAATGAGAAGCCTGAGACTGAGGCTCTAAAGGAGGCAGTGGTTGTTGAGACAGGTGTAGCTGTGACTATGGGAGGAAAGGGCTAAGAGGACACACAGCAGGTCAGGGAACAGAGAAGTGGGGTGGCAGAAGGAAGGATCACCCATCTGGATATGGAAATCACCAAGAATGAGTGGTAGTGAGCCTGAAGCTGAAATCATGGCGAAGTGAGGAGTATCGATCTGGGTCAGCAGATGATGCACAAGGTGGCAAACGATCTACTCTGATAACGAGATTGATAGCTGGGAATTTGGGGGAGGAGGAGGGAAGAATGGTCTGAAAGCAGCACCATGGAGCAAGGAGATTTAGCCACTTGGAAGGGCCACAGGAGAGCTAGATTCTGGTTAAAAGCAAGCAGGTGACAAGAATGTTTAGTGAAGAGGTTGAGGGAACAGATTTTGCTGAAGACACGTCATGGATTCCAAAGGCCTGAGAGTTGGGACAGGTTGGGGGATGCGATGGAAATGGTTTCCTCCTGGGTGGG